ATTTCTTTGTAGATGTTCACACAACTGACCTGCAACTAGTTTCTCTAGAATTTTTGAGATGAAGGTTAGATTAGATATAGATCTATAGTTGGCCAGAATTTCTGAATCAAGGTCAGACTTCTTAAGTAAAGGTTTAATTACAGCAACCTTAAAGCGCTGTGGTACATAACCATCCATTAAAGACAAATTAAGTAGATCCAAAATGTGGACATTAATTAGTGGAAATACCTCTTTAAACAGTCTGGTTGGGATGGGATCTAGCAGGCATGTGGATGGTTTGGATGAGGTTATTATTTTTGACAATTCAGAGCTCAACAGGACAAAAACTGTCCAAACATAAATCAGGCTCTAGTGAAATTTTTAAAGTTGTCTCATTTGACAGGGGACTAGAGATAGTAGAAGGAAGGATGGTTTGAATTTTCTCTCTAATTGAAATAATTTTATTATAAAGAATCTCATGAAGTCATCACTACTTATAGTTGTAGGGATACATGGTTCAACAGAAATGGGACTTTTAATTAGTCTAGCAATAGTACTAAACAGAAACCTAGGGTTATTTTTATTCTCCTCTATTAAAGATGAGTAATATAAAGTTCTAGCTTTATGGAGAGCTTTTTTATATGTTAGCAGACTATCTTTCCAAGTTAAATAAAATTCTTCAACATTAGTAGAGCGCCATTTTCTCTCCTGGTTTCTAGATGCTGCTTTAAAGTACGTAACACAGAACTGAACCAAGGAGGCAGTTCTGAGAATTCAGACAAAACTGAGAGTAAGCTCCTGGTGGACGATATATAACAACTAGTAAAAGTGGCTTTTCTGATTTCCATTTTGGATGAGAAAGACTGAGGGACAGTGATTCAAAAGAATCATAACTAATAACTGATTTGGCATTAATCAATAATCCTGACTGAAAAATAGAAGCTACTCCTCCACCTCGGCCAGTTGTTCTAGAAACATGAACATTTAAATAATTAACAGGAGTGGATCCATTTATACCAACAAAATCCTCCTGTTGTAGCCAAGTTTCTGTCAGACACAATAAATCAATATGATGATCAGTTATCAGTTCATTAACTAACAGGGATTTAGAGGAAACAGATCTGATGTTCAATAATCCACATTTAATGATTTTATGATTTTGCTCTGGTAAAGTAACTGTGTTTATTTGAATCAGATTTTTATGGTTTATATTTTTAGAGCAGATTTTTGGTTTATTTAATTTGAGCCGTGGGCGAGTTGACACTGTTTCAATGTGGGTGTGGGTGGTGTACAGAGGAGAAGCAGCAGAGAGGTGGAGGACTACACCTCTGCTTCCTGGACTGGACCCTGGGTTGTCAATCATTTGGGGGATCAACAAAATCAGCCATATTTCTAGAAAGAAGAGCGGCTCCGTCCAAAGTGGGATGGATGCCATCTCTCCGCATCAGACCAGGTTTTCCCCAGAAAGAACTCCAGTTATCTATGTAGCCCACGTCGTTGTCAGAACACCACCTGGACACCCAGCGGTTAAACCACGACATACGGCTAAACATGTCATCGCTGGTTACACCTGGACCTATACCTGGACTTGGTCCTATACCTGGACCTATATCTGGACCTGGACCTATACCTGGACCTATACCTGGACCTATACCTGGACCTATAACTGGACCTGGACCTATACCTGGACCTATACCTGGACCTATACCTGGACTTGGTCCTATACCTGGACCTATATCTGGACCTGGACCTATACCTGGACCTATATCTGGACCTGGACCTATAACTGGACCTGGACCTATACCTGGACCTATATCTGGACCTGGACCTATAACTGGACCTGGACCTATACCTGGACCTATACCTGGACCTGGACCTATATCTGGACCTATATCTGGACCTGGACCTATACCTGGACCTACCATTCTGTGTTCGTCTGTCTCTCCTTCCTGTCCTCTCAACCAGACGGTCAAAGCAGATGGTCTCTTGTCCTGATCCTGGTTCTGCTGGAGGTTCCTTCCTGTTAAAGGGAGTTTTTCTTCCCACTGTCTCCACTGTGCTTGCTCAGGATGGGAGACTGCAACGAAGCCAAGCTTCATCTTGTCTGCTGGATTCCTTAGATAGAGAACTTTACTGATTATGTGAATGTTCCTGTAAAGTCCCTGAGACAACTTTGTTGTGATTTGACGTTCTATAAATAAAGTGAACTGGTCAGGTTGGGGAGGGGGCCGGAGAAAACTACGGAGTCCCACATGGTTTTAGCAAAGTCACACGCCGAAGCAACGTCAAAAAGATTTAAGGTCAGCTGGCGGCCATCTTGAACTGGGTTGAGTTTAATTAAAATGCATCCAGTGGTTCAGGAGATATTTTGCTGACAGTGTTGACTTTAAGCAAAGATGTTGCTGTGTAGCTTGTCCTGGTGATAACTCTCAGCTACTACCACACAAATTGAGCTCAGGCTCGCTACATACGACACAGACATCGCGGTGTTGATTAGCTGTGTCGGCCATCTTTAATAAGGTTGACGTTACCACCTTCTGCCTCACAAAGTTGGAGCCCAATGTCTGGAAAATTAACCGTTTCAGCCATTTTTAGGTCACTTGACTATGGCAGCCATCTTGAACTAGGTCAACTTCAAAGAAGTTCTAGATGGAAACCAGTGATTAATATTTTCATTCAACTCGGTCCAGTGGCTCCTGAGATATTTTGCTAACTGCCAGACTCCAATATTTAAAGCCAAAGTTTTGGTTACATGTTGGTTGTGACCTTTAGCCACTACTAAACCAAAGTTTAGCTCATTTGTTCAACTGTGGTCGTTTGAAGTGTTGTGTGGCGGCCATCTTGCATCAGGCCGACGGCAACAGTTGATGGAGTTGTGGACAAATGTCCCCCGTGGGTCCCCCGTGGGTCCACCGTGCGCTCACCGTGGGTCCACCGTGCGCTCACCGTGGGTCCACCGTGCGCTCACCGTGGGTCCACCGTGCGCTCACCGTGGGTCCACCGTGCGCTCACCGTGGGTCCACCGTGCGCTCACCGTGGGTTCACCGTGCGCTCACCGTGGGTCCACCGTGCGCTCACCGTGGGTCCACCGTGCGCTCACTGGGTAGTTTTCCAACATCCAGGTCCTTCAGAGCCGGGCAGTGAAGTGTTCCAGAAGTCTTCAGCTTCCATCCCACAAACGTTAGAAAACAGACGCGTCCAAACTTTGAGTTTTCAAATTTATTTCCAAATTTAAAAAGGTGCATCTTTTTTATTAAATTTAACTTTTATAAACAAAACCTGAATAACTAAAATAATTTATACAACATGTACAATATTTATATAAAAACAGAGAAAAGGAAAATACAAAGGCCTAACTGTGGTCAGGTGGAGGTAGGTCTGCCAAGTTTAACACAAATTATTAAATTAAATGAAACATCCCTGCAGTCGAACGGTCTTCAGCAAAAACTTGAGACCAACGCTGAGCGACAAACCAGTCTGTGGAAGAACAAACCAGTCTGTGGAAGAACAAACCAGTCTGTGGAAGAACATGAAGTCCTGAACAAGAACAAGGCCCAACTCCTCCAACAAACCAGAACATTTGAGAAGAAACAGAAGGCATGCACCTGATGAGAGCAACAGTCTGAGCCGTGCAGCACTTTGTGTCCGAGCTTCAGCAGGCACGTCAGAGAACACGTGTTCGGGTCAGAACCGACCGCGTCCGTGGAAACAGTCCGTCGGTCGTAGAGTCTGAGCGCGTCGGGACCAGGCGCGGCTCCGCACCATGATGCCAGAGACAAGAAGTTCTGCTGCAACGAGTCCTTTCAACAAACACTTTGGCTTCAAACTCCTTTCATCGTGAACTTTGGTGATTTTTGCAGCAGCAGTTTCAATAAACCTCGTTTTGGAGTTCGTGATTCTGTTCAGACGACCGCAGCTCTTCGCTGCTACAGACGTCCTGAAGAGAAAATATTCAAGTTTAGAGTAAACCAGGCTTCCAGTCGTCGCCCGCACCGAGGACAAGAGGGGAATGAAACGTTGAGCAGGCGAGGCAGAACGTCTGCTCTGTCGTTCTCCTGAAACTTCTGAAATGTTGCTGTGCGTTTTACAGCGTCAGTCTTTACACAAAGCCCCCCCCCCCCCCCGCGCAGCCATTAGCTGCGCAGCTGCTCGAGCCGGGTCTTCAGCGCTTCCTGTCGGGCTTTCAGCTTGTCCTTCCTGACCTGCAGTGTGTGGCTCTCGTCCTCCAGCCCGTAGATGCAGTCTCTGGCTTTCTTCAGGATCACCACCTTGGACGCCTTGTCGTTGCGCGACAGCTCCGGCACGTTGTCGCGCAGGCGCAGGAAGCAGTTCTTGAGCTCGTTCCGTCGCTGCCGCTCCATCACGTTATGAGTCCGCCGCCGCTCCTCCTCGTCCTCCGTCTCCGTCGAGTTCCGGGACGTGTAGTGGTACCGAGACGAGGAGGACACGGAGCCGCGAGCAGCGGGGCTGAAGCGCGACGAGCCGTCTCTGCAGCGCTTGTTGGACGACGGTGGAGGCTTTGCAGGAGGCGAGGCGGGATAGGGAGCGGCGTAGTTGTGCTGCAGCTCGATGTGATGCTGCTGAAGCGCTCGCTGCTCCTCGTCCTGTTTCCGTTTGCAGGTCGACGGCTCGGGCAGAGGGGAGAGACGCTGCACCACCGTCACCACGTCGATTTCCTCCTCTGTCATAAAAAACAACAAGAGTTTAGTCCAAGGGAAGCCGGTCTGCTTCCAGCTCACAGCGACACCCTCAGCACCCCAACACTGCACCACGTGCACTCAGCACCAGGCGTGGACACTGAACCACGTGCACTCAGCACCAGGCGTGGACACTGAACCACGTGCACTCCTCTCCACGGTGAACACATTTCCCGCTACGAGACTTGAAAACATAAAAGGTTCAAATAAAAATTCTGCAGCTCAAAGGACGTCAGAGGTTTTTTCAGACTGAGCCAGAGTTGAATGAGCTCACCTGAACAGCCACCCCCCCCACCCCCCCCCGATTACAGATTACAGCTAAAAAGTACAAAGAGCAAGTCGGGCTGAGCCTCTGAACATTAACAGCAAAGCATCAATACCTCAGAAACCAGTCTGCTCCCAGTGCTAATGACACATGGTGAGAAGAATCCCAGGCACGAGGTCTGAACTCACCAGAGTCGCTGGACGAATACGTAGACATGTCGCCACCAGTCGATCCATAATCTGACGTGGACTCGCTCGACTCCTGAGAACTCATCAGGCTCTGAAAGTCCAGCGCGGAGCCGGCGATCTCCTCAAAGATGCTGGCGTCGATGTCGGCGAGCGGCGGGCTAGAGCCGAGCATCAGCTTCTCCTCCAGGTTCTTGTCTCCGGAGAGGCAGCGCCACAGGAGGTCCTCGCCCCCCTCCTGCAGAGGGGAGCAGGGCTGGCAGGACTCCTTCTCCGTGGCTTCGGCACTGAACAAGTCGTAGGTCCAGGCGAGGTGCTGCATGTCGTGGTCCTCCAGCAGGATGTCCGACACGTAGCTCAGCTGGTCCTCCTTGGACAGGGGCTTCCCGCTGCTCAGGTCCGCCTTCATCGGAGGGGACTGGGGGGGCGTTGGCAGCGACTGCAGGTCCTTCATCAAGCTTTGGCAGAAGTCGTCGTCAAACAGCAGCGGCTCCGAGTAAAGCCAGTCCGGCGACTGAGAGAAACTTTGCAACATGTCTGAGCTTCAGAATCTGGAAGAACGAGAATCCAAAGAAGAAAAGAACGAGTTTCAAAATAAAATCCAGAGAAACCAGTGGAGTGTGGCCAGCAGCGCTAGTGGAAGATTAAACTGGTTCCTCCTCACTGAAACCCCCCACCAGCACTGAGCCTCCTTTTATCCGTGTTTACATCACTAAGGCCCCGCCCCCTCTGCTCCTGAGGAGGCCCACATCACCCCCAGAACCCCTCCCCCCCATGACATCACAGGAACAGCTGGGGCACAAACTTTACTCCACTTTCCACTACTTACATTTTTCCTGATGCAACAGAAGAACAAGAAGACCACCTGAGGAGGACCCTCCTGAGGAGGACCCACCTGAGGAGGACCCACCGGAGGAGGACCCACCTGAGGAGGACCCACCGGAGGAGGACCCACCGAGTGGGCGAACCAACAAACTGGCACAACTATTTCTGCATAAATAAATAAATAGAGTCACATATGAGCAGCCAGTGCTGCAGGTCTACATGAGTCCTGAGGAGGGGGTCTTGTGATAGTCCTGGGGTCTGGGACTGAACCGGAGAACAAAGCAGCTGTGTGCGACCTTAAAGACTATCTTTAACCATCTGTCCAGGAAACCGGACCCAAAACTAGACAACAGAAAACAAAGATTTCCACTCAACGTATCCCTAATCTAGTTTAATGTATCCATAATCTAGACTAACGCCCCTTCAACTTCCAAACACGGGATTAAAGCGTTGATACGGAAAATCCGACTTTTTGCCGAGTCCGTGAACGCAGCAGCTCCTGATGAAATCCAGCTGTGGAGCTCAAAGCTCCAGCTGTCACAAAACACCGAACCTGCACCAACACCCAGCTGCAGAACCGGACACGGGTCAGCCCTTTAAATCCCATTAACGTGGGGGGGTCGTCATTTAAACCCGCGTGGGTTGATCCCCACGTGAGACCGGCACATTCCCCCATTCAAAAACCTTTAACGCAGAAATGCGACAGAAAATTCGTGCAAACACGCATTGAACCCGCAGATAGGAGTTCTACTGAACGCCACGTGCTTTCCAAGTCAGCTGACATCAAATAAATCCTTCTGAACGCACGCGCAGCGGTCTTACCTGCTGCTTTTGGGAGAAAAACCAAAGCGGAAAAACACAGAATATCCAATAAGGTCCAGGGTGGGGGGGTGAAGCTATACGTTTCTGCTCGCGCGTGACTTTTTGCGTGTGAAGTCAGAGCTGGACGAAGGCAGCATGGTGCGTGAGTGCAGGGACTCGTTTCTCCTCCGCCGGTCTGACACAGTGGGTGGGGCTGCGGCTCCGCTTTTGTATCAAAGAGCCACGGTCTCCCTCCGCCGCACCGCAAAACCGCGCCAAAACGCTAAAACCGTGAAAAGTCCGTTAGAGGAACCGAACCCAGCGCCAAAATGACCGCCGTGGCTCCGAACCGGGATTCAATCCAGGCGGAAATGTGAAGACTCGAGGCGGCGCGGGTTAAAAACGCCTAGAATGAGGGGTCTATACGCGGAGGGATACGGAAGTGGTCGGGTTCCGGGAAAAACCCATGGCGGGTAAAAAAGTTCAGGCGCACGTGGAATGTGAGAAAACGCCGGGTGTCTCTTTGTGCTCGTGTCGCCGCGGGGAGGAGCCAGGACGGGTCACAACGTTCACGCGCGTGTGTTTCAGGCCAGGAGCCGGTTCATGACGCGCATCAAAGTAAAAAGCTACAAGTCGGAGCGGCGCTTTCATCCAACACGTTAGAGATCAAAGATGCCGCTCCACATGTCAACTGGTTTACAACTGATTAAACTGGGAAAGGCTCCGACTGTATC